CCAAACCGCGCGGAAACCCCTCACAGCTGACACCGACAACAACAACAATGGCCGATTGTGCTCCAGCTTCCTCTGTACCTCTTTGGAAGACCAGATTCCCAGTAGGTAGCTGGTCTCTTCAGTGGACCACTGCTGCTTGTTAAGTTTCTCCATCGTTGTGTACAAACTGGATAAAACGCCGGCTTTTTGTTGTTGTTCAGGAGTTGATCCCGCCCCCGCCTCGACGTAAACGTGACGTATGTGGTGCTTTTGCTCTGGCCGGACAATTTTTTGGTGCTTGAAACGAACCGGATTCCGGAGCTAAGAGGCTGCTCCGCTTCGGTGTGAACAGGAAAACCCGGTGCTTTTCAAGCTCCAGCTCCGAATCGGCCCAGAAACACCGTTGGTGTGAATGAGGTAAGAGTCGTTTTTATCAGAACAGTTCGATACGCGCCGTCATCCGAGTTAAACATCAAGAATTGGTCACAATCTGCAGCTTGAGGAGGGAGAGGAGTGCTTAGGGACCGTCTACAAACTGCAACGGGGTTTTGCGAGATTTCGCAAAAGTATTGCGATATCTCTCCAAAAAAAAAAAGTTCTTCTCCATGTCCCCTAGGGGGCTCCGTACGAAACCAATGTGAGTTTGGAAAATTGCACAATATAAATCTATTCTAGTAGACCTCAACAATGGAATTATGATCAGTAGAAATGGCCATGTCATGGGACCTTTAAGATAAACATTATAATGTGATGTTTTAAACGACACAAAAACAAAGTGTAAAGAATAAAGGATGCATAATATAGATTTTGTTCAACCATTACCAATAACCAGACCTTGGAAGTATCTAAGTAGATTTACTTTTACTCATATATAATATCTGAGCACTTCTACTTTTACTCAAGAGTAAGATCTGAGTACTTCTCCCACCTCTGCCAACAACCCAACCTTCTCCTCATGGCTGATACTTATAAGATAACCAACTCATTCCAACCTTATGTTAGCCTCAACATGAGGTTCATAACCTGTAGTTTATGCAGATATAGTGAGCCAAGATGGATGATTTCATATTGAGTTACTAATATTATCTAAGTTACTGTTGCTTTTAAATATTAGTAAAGAAAATAGTTGTTGTGCTATTATTATTATTATTATTATTATCATTTGCATGTATGGCACACATTGCAACATTTTAACAGAATATAAGAGAGAGTAGTACTCCATATCTCCATGTAGCAGCTTGCATGGTGATCTGTCACACTCCTAGGCTCATTTGGGTCCTGCTTCCTTCACAATCCTTAACATGATCTGCATGCACTTACTGTGTTTTCTTTGTGTTATTATTGCATGCTAATGTGTTTGTGTCTGCAGAAATAAGCTGCGGTCACCCCCCCACCCTCCCCCACACTCACCTGCTGTGGGACGGCAGCCAATCGCTGGGCAGCGTTCGGCTGTACGGGTGCAAGGAGGGATTTTACCAGGAGGGGGGGAATAATATGTCCACATGTTTACTGTCAGGAGAGTGGGGGGAAGTTTCTATAAAGTGCAAAGGTACTGTGATCATCTTTATTTAATCTATGCAAGTTGTTATTTGTGATTTTTAACATGTTTTTGTTGATTCTTCTTGTAAATAATGAATGTGTGTGTGGTGAAAGGTTCCCCTGTGTTCCCTGTGTTGGCTCTTTGTTGTTGTGTTGTACTTGAATAATGTTTTATTTCATTGATTTATATGACTTGTCTCAGGTGTATTGCCAAGTAGGTGTTCACATATTAGCTTTGGTGTATAAGTTTAAAAACAGCAAGAAGAATTAAAATGTCTAATTTCAAAACAGCAAATATGGAAATATTATAAAAACCATTTTAGAATCAAAAAATGTGTGCCGGAAATATAAAAATACGACAAAAAAATAACATGAAAAATACATGTTATTTATATCTGAATTAAAGGAAGTGCTGTGTATTTTTATTTTTTAATATTGTTTATTATTAATCGTTCTGTGATACATTTCCAAGGTGATGTCTTTAAATGTTGTGTTTTTCCTGTTTGGTCCTTTCTCAAAAATAGTCACTTTAATAGGATACACACGGAGAAAAGCATTCAATCTCTATATTTAAGGGATTGTCCGACTTTTTGCATGAAAACTGACTTAAACACTTCTGGTATAAGTATTTATGTGGGTCTTTTACACACTTTCTTTCTTTTTGTCCTCTTTTAAACACTTTCTTTCTTTCTGTCCATGTGTTGTCCTTATGTCGGGTAAAATACTATGTATACTTTATTTGTGTAGGTATTGTCCTCTCATCATACTTTCTTGTACTTTATGTGCATCTCTTGCCTGTACTAAATGTTAAATTCATGCTATGTCTGGAATAGTAAATAAAGCTGCGTGTATACAGTAATTCCCGATAATACTTGCAGCTGATTGGCTAACGCCTCAGTGTCTTTGTGTCCCTGCAGCTAAGTGTGGCCCGGCTCCCGTCCTGGATCACTCGGAGGTGGTTTGGCACAACCGGAGCGTCGTGGTGCACAGATGTGAGGAGGGATACCACAGCTGGAAAGGAAGCAACGTCTCTGAGTGTGAGTCCTCTGGAGAGTGGAGGAGCGCTACACTCACATGCATAGGTGAGAAAAAACAAGACATTTCAAGAGCTATGTTCAGACTTTGGAAGTAACATATTACATGTGATGGGATTATGCAATCATGAAGGAGACAAAAAAAGGAAACTGTATTCCCTTACAGTTATATATTTTTTTTAAAGGATGTTGTTAGATCCATTTTTTAAGTGACCCTCCCCTCACTGCCTCATATATTTGATTGAGTCTTGTACTTACATTATCCACATGTTCAGGTAATGTTTCTTCTGGTCTCCTGTAATGCCCTTTGAGCATTCGTTAGCTGGCAGAAAGTGTCATAAATTGGCTTTTTATATCCAGTTTCAAGCTTCATTTTTACCACACACTTTTTACATGTTGGTGCTTTTTAACTTGACATTTTCACCAGATGAAGGATTGTGCTCATGGGACGTCTGGATCTTAAGTTATCGGAGAAACAATCTGAGCTAACGTTAGCCGCAGCCAGACGGCATCAGAAAATCACTGATTTTTAACATGAACTATCCCAAACAATAACCAAATGAGTAGAAGCTGTTTTACCTGCTTTTATTACTTCCTGCTTGATTTGCAGAAGATGACATATTGAGTCTTTAACATCAGCGACTAGGAACATATAAAACATACAGTATAAGGAACATGGAAGGTGCAATGTTCACTAGCCTTAACAAAATAAAAGTATCTGTGTTTCTTTTGTGAGGTTATTGATTTACCTAGTAAACATATTTGTAAAGAGATGTATAATAAAACAATAATAATATGACGTTTATCTCTTACAGAAATAAAGCCACCTATAAATCATCTTCGTGTCCTCAATGAGAAATGTGTGCAGTGGAGAGCAGAGAAGTACGAGGAGGACACAGAAACATACAAGGTAACTGGACAAAAATGAAGACTGCTTCTCCATGTTTAGTCTTGAATATACTTTCAGCTTGATCATTTATTTTCAAACCTGATGAAACTGTTTTACTTTGAAAAGTATGCAAGTATCTGAAATGTATAATACTATTAATGTACTGAAACATTTTACACTGCTTTCATGTTTGGAAGTGTAAAATCTTAGCTCAAGATGTCTTTTTTGTATTAGCTTCTGCGCATATAGTTTGTTTACCTTTCTTTTTTGGAGGTTTGTGTGACTCTGACTGCGTTTCAGGTGACGTACACAGGATCCAGAGACTACCAGAGGTCCTTTCAAGATAAGAGGAAGCGTTTTCTGAGCTCGAAAGCCGACGAGCTGCAGCTCTGTTTAAATCTACTTCCTGTCACAAACTACAGCATCTCCATCACTGCAGCCTCCTCCAGGTTCACCGCCTCCATCACCACCAACACCAGCCTAACAGGTACCTGTAAGGGAAACCTCTGTAGCAATGGAGAGTCAGGACTCAGAGAGACACGAGGAGAGCTGGAGCTTTGATGTCAAACACTAAATGTTTATTTACAAGTATCGGCCGGAGAAATTCACATCACAAGTCACACAGCCAGAGATTCTGACTGCCCTGGTGGGTTGCCATGTCAAAGCTGACCAGCCTCTCTCTGATAGACCTTTTAACTAGTTTACAGAGAGTTAATCCACATATTGGGGGATGGTGCGTAAACACCTGGGAACACTGGAGATACTCTTAGGCTGACCGAGAGTTGACCGGTCATAAAACTGAGACTAAGTGCAGCAGCACATTCCTTAAAGGAGATAACAAGTCAGGGTTGGTGATAAACGTCAACAAGCAGACAGGTTAAATATCTAGAAGTAAAGACAGAAATATTCCCTCACAGTACCATAGTTCAAAAATCCACATTTAAATGTTGCTGATTAAATGTTCCCTTGCATGCGTGTGCAGTTTAGGTTAAAGCAATAAGTTAAGCCCAGAATGAAGGCTCAGCTGCGTGGATATCTTTAGGACTGATGTAACTATATTTAATCTGATGTTTTCTTCTTTATAATGTTATATGTTAATGTTTCCCAGTGCCTCCAGCTCTAGCCGTGGACTACAAAGAGTTTGAGACTCCTGTACCGACTCTGAAGCTCCGCAGATCTCCAAACACACTCGACCCAATCAGGTAACAACCAGTACACACATCCTTTACTTCAGTAAAAGTACCAATACGTTACTGTAAAAATACTACATTATACAGTAAGTAAAGGTGCTACATTCAAAATATCACTAAAAGTATTATCTTTACGATATACCTAAATCAGGGGTGTCAAACTCAATTTCATCACGGCCACATCAGCATTATGGTTGCACTCAAAGAGCCGGTTGTAACTTTAAGACTATAAAA